AAAAAAAAAAAAACGTGTAATTTTCGACGAAAATTCAACATGGCGTCAAGAATTTAAACATCGAATAGGTTAAAGTCGTAAGTCATAACTTGTTTGTTTTGCTTGTGTTCTGTGGCTCTGTAATTGTTAAAGTACCTTAAGAGTTATAATTGAGTAAACAATAAATCACATTGAATTAGAGACCATTTTATTTGAGAAATTGTAATTTATAATTATTATCAACCATGTCAGGAGTGTCTTCCAAACACAAACGAAAAATGTCTGACGAAAATAGAATGTTTCAAGACGAATGGGAAGCTGACTATTTTGTAGTGCAAAACAAACACGGTTTTGCAACTTGTTTGATTTGTCGTGAAAGTGTTATATTAAAAAAATATAATATTGCTCGTCATTTTAACACTAAACATAAATCGTTCAATGATACTTTTCCTCCAGGATCTCTCATAAGACACGAGAAATTGGCTATTTTTAAAAAGTCATTGCAAAATCAACAAAATATTATGTCTGTGGCAATAGTACAAGATGCAGCTGTAACGAAAGCATCGTATGAAATTTGTTATATACTTGGTAAACATATGAAACCGTTTACTGATGCTGAAATTGTGAAGGAATGTTTTTTAAGCGCTTCCAATGTACTGTTTGATAAATTCAGTAACAAAAATCAAATAATTTCTGAAATAAAAAAAATCCAGCTTTCAGATTCTACCTGTGTTAGACGTATTGAAGATATTGCGAACCATATTTGTGATAACGTAATTGAAGACTTGAAAAACTGCAAGTTTTTTAGTTTAGCTTTTGACTCTAGCACGGATATTTCAGCGACATCACAATGCTCGGTTTTTGTTAGATATTGTACAGTACAAAATTCAATTTGCGAAGATTTTTTGAAATTCCTTCCAATGAAGGGCCAGACCAGGGGCAAAGATTATCTCGATACTATTTGCAATTTTCTAGAACAGAACAAGATAGATGTAAAAAAATTAATTTGTGTGTGTACCGATGGCTGTCCTTCAATGACTGGATCTGAAAATGGATTTATTTCTCTACTGAAACAGAATTATGATTTGACAAATTTAATAACATTTCACTGCATCATTCATCAGGAAAACTTGGCTTCACGTATTGCTAATCCTAAAGTAGATACTGTGATGAAAACTGTCATAAATATAGTGAATTATATCCGAGCACGAGAACTGAACCACAGAAAATTTAAAAGTCTTTTAGAGGAAGTGGATAGTCAATACAATGATGTTCTTTTACATACCTCAGTACGTTGGCTTAGCAGGGGGAAAGTTCTGGAAAGGTTTTTTTCTTTGCGAAAAGAAATAATGCTGTTTTTACAGCAAAATAATAAAATATACAGTGAACTGCAAAATAATGAATGGTGGTGTATTGTAGCGTTTCTGTGCGACATTACAGAGAAGCTGAACAGTCTCAATACTGGTTTGCAGGGTAAAAATAAAATAATTTCACAGATGGCGAATAAAATATTTGCCTTCGAAGAAAAATTAAACATTTATTACCAAGAAATACAGAACAAAATACTGCGAAATTTTCCAACCATGACAAACGCTAAGCAGGACGGTATTAATATTTCTCCAGAAAACTATACAATTTTTTCAAATTATTTAACTGCGTTATCTGAGGAATTTAAACATAGATTTCATGATCTAAGGAAAATAAAAAATATCCTGTTGCTCATTGAAAATCCCTGGCACTTGGAACCGGCAATAATATCAGAATTGGCTGATATATTTGCATGTAATTACGCAGAGCTATTTGACGAATTTATTGAGATGAAGAACAATACACACCTGGAAGCTATTTTTAAAGAAAAAAGAGCGGAAAATAATTACGTTGACTTCTGGAAAGTAGTGCCCGAACAATATAAGACTGTAAAAAAATGTGCTCAAATTTTACTTACGTTGTTCGCATCAACGTATCTATGTGAAACGTCATATTCAAAAATGAAATATGCAAAGAACATATATAGAAACCGGCTTACTGATTCACACCTGGATGCCGTTTTACGAGTAGCATGCAGCAGTTACAAGCCTGATTTAAATGAAATTGTGAAAAAATGTTCGCAATATCAACAGTCACACTAAATTTCTAGGGTAAGTGAAAAATTATGTAAGTTTTTTATTATAATTGTTATGTTGCGGCCCGCGTGTAATAGCTATCATGTGTATGTGGCCCGAGAAAAAAAACAGGTTGAGTATGGTGGCCCTAGAGCATTGTTATTATATTTGTCAAATTTTCGTCTATTTGGTTACCGCACTGCTTTGATTGTGTTATTTTCTTCCTTTCAATAGACAGGTCGAAAAGAAGCACGAACGAAGATGACGGACGGTTTGTGCAACGTACATATGGACATTACGGACATCAGAGTAATAATTATGCTCATTACGGACACGAGACGGTGACGTCTGGTAAAGTGGGGCAGGATGGAATTCAGAAACAAGCTTTGCGTCAATATCAGGTAAATGTAAAAGCGCGATGTTAACCATTCGTAATTTGGAGGAAACGTCTTTCTTTTATTTTACAGATCGACCAAAGAGGAACGGGTCAAGGAACAGACAAGTTTCTCCTTCCTGGTGAGCCCTCGATATCCGGTCCAGGTACTTCTGGTCAGTTTTCTCTTGAGTCCACCCATGGCGGAAGTTATCGGCTGGAACAACCTTTTGGTCTCACTGCTGGAAACTCGTATCAAGGAGGCGTTGAAACTCGAGGACAATTCGGAGTAGGTCCTGGAACAAAATATCCAGTTGGACCACCAATATCTGGTATTGGATATCCACAGATCCCTGGAGTTGTACCTAGTGTCCCAGGCATTCCTAGTGTATCAAGTATACCAGGGATACCCGGAGTTGTTACAGGCCACCTAGGACTCCCCGGATTTGTTCCAGGACAATCAGGCATATCTGGGGTTAGCATTCCTAGTGTACCAAGTATACCGGGGATACCCGGAGTTGTTACAGGCCACCCAGGACTCCTCGGTGTTGTTCCAGGACAATCAGGCATATCTGGGGTTAGCATTCCTAGTGTACCAAGTATATCGGGGATACCCGGAGTTGTTACAGGCCGCCCAGGACTCCCTGGAGTTGTTACAGGCCACCCAAGTATACCTGGAATTGCTCCAGGGCAACCTGGGGTTGTATCTGGTTTTCCAAGTGTTCCAGGAGTTCAAGAAATGCATTTAGTATCTGGAGATGGTCGTGGAGGTGCTGCTTCACAAACACAGGTTCAAGTGGGTGCAGAGGGTAATTCTGCACAAGCTGCATCTGCTGGTCATTTGAATTCCTTAAATTCTCAGACTCAAGTACAGGGAAGCCATGCTGGAAATGGATCATTTTCAGCACAAGCTCAATCGGGATTTACTGGGGGTAATACTCAAAGCCAAGTAAGAGGTAATAAACAGGGTAGTGCAGCTGGTTCTGGAGCTATTGTGGATACTGTAGGTTCTGCACATAGTCAGGTTCAAATGGCTCAACCAAGCGGATCATCATCTGGTAGTGCTCAAGGCAGATTCAGAAGTGGAAGTTTACAAGTTTTAACACAGGGAGGAAAAGAAACAGGAAATGCTGCTTCACAAGCAATATCTATTGGTTTGTCATCTAGTCAGTCTCAAGTCCAAGTTTCAGGAAAAGAAGTAACTAGCAGAGATGGTTTCCAAGGAGGAGCATCTGCTTCTGCTCGAGGTGGTGACAGTGGAGGTCAAGCACAATCCCAGTTGCAGGGTGCTTATACTTCTGGAAGAACATACACAGCTACTGGTCAAAGTGGAATTGGATCTTCTGTTTTACAACTCGGTATTTCAATTCCAGGACGTCCTGGCATTCCAAGTCAACCAGGTACAGGAATAGCAAGACCAATTACTCCTGGAATTTCTGCACCCCAACCTGGAACACATGTTCCAGGAATTCCAAGTCAACCAGGAATAAGCATAGGTAGACCCTCTGTCCCTGGAACTTCTGTTCAACAACCCAGTTATCCAAGTATTCCAAAACAACCAAGTGTTCCAGTTGGACAACCTGAAATCCAAATTCCTGGCTATCCTAGCATTCCAGGTCAACCAATTCCTCCTGTTTCACAACCTGGGATCCAAATTCCTGGCTATCCTAGCATTCCAGGTCAACCAATTCCTCCTGTTTCACAACCTGGAATCCAGATTCCTGGCTTTCCTAGTATCCCTTCTATTTCACAACCTGGTGTCCCAATTCCCGGCTATCCAAGTGTTCCAGGACAACCAACACCACCTGTTTTACAACCTGGTATACAAATTCCTGGATTTCCTGATATTCCTAGCCAACCATTTCCACCTGCTCTACAACCTGGAATTCCAAGTCAACCTGGTACCCAAATCCCTGGCTATCCAAGTATTCCAGGTCAAGTGGATCGTCCCATTCCCGAAATTCAAATTCCTGGATATCCCAGTATTCCTGGCCAACCACTTCCTCCAGTATCACAACCTGGAATCCAAATTCCTGGATTTCCTAGTATTCCCATTCTGCCAGGAATAGACTCTCAGAGACCTGTTGTACCAGATGTTCCACAACCAGGCTTTCCAAGTTGGCCTGGTGTACTAGTCACACCTAGACCATCATGTTGCGATCCAAAACCAATTGTTTCAGAAGACAGTACAGATTGTTGCGATCGCAAGAAATGGAAGAAGTATCGCCCATCTTGCTGTAAAGACATTATCGACGATTTTGACGAAGATGAAGACGAAGACTGTAGAATCGTCAAGGCTACTTGTTACATCGTATATAAATCTGCAGGCAGAGCGAGAATTTGTCGTCCCCTACAAACCGATGGATGCTAGTTCACCCTCAAGAAATACCATAGTCAATGTTCCTTCATTCTCTTTCCTCTAGCAACAGAATTTAGTTTTCACCATTTTGTGCATTTGTTCCATTTCGTCAACTATCGAAATTCCCGTATGTCTCCAACGGTACATTATTCATCTGCATGAGACTTTATAATTTATATGATTTTGTATTTCAAATAGAAAAAATAAAATGACAAATTTTGTCACCTAACAAATATTTCTGAAGTGTGCTTGATGTATTTTCATTCTTGTTATATATATTGGTTTAACACTGTAATCCTTTTTGTCAGGTATTTCGTATAACCAACAAAAATATCTAATGGTTTAACCATGCACAATTTATTAATCAATTTTCCTTTGTACATATTCATTTCGGGTTGACGTAAAAATGCATGTAAACTTTGACCTATCGACCCAGAATTTCGTCAGCACCTCACTGATAACAAGAGAGACTTAAGTTTAAAATTTGGGCTTTCTTGACCCAGTAAATTTTTCTCTGCGAGCGTCTACATTGCCGGATGAAAAAAGGGAGAAGAAAATACAGCTTTTTTTGGAGATTTTTACACTTTTCGATTGCTTATATCTCGGAAACCGCTTCATAAAAAATATTGAAATTTTGCACACTATCTAAGAAAGCAATTTTCTTTCGAAAGAAATATTCGGAATTACTACAGGTGTTTGGAGGACGGAGAAATCGATCTCCGAAAATCGGCAACTATGATTCCTGTATATGTAGTCAGTCAGTGACTTTTTTACTAGCCGGGATCACTGCAGTGACTCCTGATACATATTGTTTTTATAGTTTTTTTGCAATTAACTCGTGGTTCCAAAAGTATAAGTCATAATGGAATTACAAACGATAATGGACCTGTAAAAATATTAGAAAGAAAAATCTCCGGGAAAATAAACTTTTCTGATGATGTTTTCAAAGTAGAATTCAATTTTAATTTACATTTAATTCTTAGATAACTCAGAAATCCTTTTATGTAATCGTTACAGCACATGGTCCTAATAATTCGATTGAGACAACACGATTGAGATACCAAGCTATCAAGGTAATAGCTAACCACTCTGAGGATCCAGAAATGATTCCAAATAAGTCAAGTAACCTCAGGAACTTTTCGGGTAATCCATCCCTCATCATCCTGCTACCCTATCATAGGCCTGACGGGCTTAATTAAAAAGACCGTTAGGTGAAGAAAAGTAAAAAAAAAAAAATAACTAAATAGTGTTACACTTGTAACCGAACGCAACGCATGAACGTAACTGTAGTGATATCGGACCTCCAAGTCCACCCTCAGATGCGGTTTTGTCGATCCATGTGCAATCCATTTGCGTATAGTTGTAAAAGGGGAATAACAAATGTAGACAAAGGGTCGTAAAATCGAAAAAAAGAAAGGCGGTTAGAGGGACACGGTAGAGAGAGGAATGGTGAAGTGGTGGTTCCCGAAAGTGACAACGTTGAGTTTCAATTTTTCTTCTGTTTAAAATGTAAGTACCTTTTCTTCGTGTTTTAAATTAAATTGTCGCTTTTCTTACATAGTATGGGTCTAAACATAGTATGTATTTCACACCTCCCCCTCGCCGCTTAGACTATGCCTACGACAACAAGTATATTGCGACACATTTTTAAGATAAAAAGTAGATCTTATGTACTCAAAAGTTGGCCACTCCTGCAGTAGAGGAATAAAGAATTTCTTGAAATGTGTTAGATTGGTCACTCAGTCTTATAAACCCTTACATAAGATATCCTTTGTAGCTATATAAATCAAATACTATAATATAACGAACATTAAAACGAAAACCATATACAGTAGTTTGTTTATTTCACGTTTATCGCGTTACTCGGATGGTACGAAATGGCACAAATTCAATTGTAAGGTAGACAGGAATTGTAGATGTGATATTTTAAATTTTTTCAGATATCATATTTTTTTCCTAATGTTAACTCAAAGAAACTGTACATTCACTGTCAAATATCAAACGGCCACGAATGAAATTTCGCGAAAAACGGACCAAATATTCAAGCTCGACACCCTAGAAAACCACTTAAATCATAAGTGCTGGCCAGTAACCTTATATTATGTAATTCTCCTATTCTAATGGCACCATACCGGTGGGCCTGTAGGAAGAACGGACCGTTGCGGAAGAGGGTCGAAGTTAATTCGACCAGAAGTAGTCGTTGATCTCCTCCCAGAAGAGAGGACTGTCGACGACTATTAATTAAAGCCTGGTACTCACTTGCGGTAGGGATTGTAAATTTACCGACTTTTTCATTTACCGGTAATTCGGTAAATGAAAATTAAAATACCGGTTTACAGGTAAATTACCGGTAAATTTTCTCCTGAAAAATAAAATTAAGGTGATAAAAAATATAAGTAATTTTGATTTCCATTTCACATTTTTTATTTCGAAGATATAGAATATAAAAAAATATAAAAATTAAAGTGTTATTCTAAACAAACTATAATAATAACTTTTAGAAACATAAATAAAATAATACAGAAAAATAAAAATAAAACAGAAATAATATATAGTACCTAATACCATTTTACTGATTACCATTTTTTAAAAAATAACTTCTCAAGAAACTTAAATTATTTAAAGTCTTATCTCCTAATTTTGATCTAATTTTTGTACAAAATAATCCGGGTTAGGTTAAGTTTCTAGACTTTTTCGGACATCATCTTTAAGTAATAAAAATCTTTCCAGCATGTTTAGTAAGCTATTCCACCGGGTTCT